GAGAGGCTGCCAAAGAGGATGTATAATGGATGGAGGTATCCCAGAAGAACCAGGAGTAATTACTGGAACATTTTTAAGGTGTAGTTGTTTTCTTCTCAGTAATGGGAAGGGAGTGGAGAGATTGTGACTAAATGTAAATGAGAGTGGAGGAGGTTGGGGGCCTGCTGAGGTAAATATGTGACCCGTGTTTAATGAGATAAATCATTGTGTGGAACATTAGGGCATAGTTGAAGAAAGCATGAGTTTACTGAGAACTCAATTTTTATGTGTTTATTCTCAAGCATTACTCAGCAGCTTGGTGGCAGGTAGAGTAAATGGCAGTGCTGAACCAGCATTGGGAATGAGGTTCACTAGTATAAAAAGAAGTGTGAGGAAGGGGTTCTAAGGAGGGTGTCATTGAAATGATGACCCTGTGGTCCGGATCATTTAAGAAGTCAAGTATTTCCAGATGAGGGATAATTTAGTTGGAGAATAGAAAAGGGTTAAAGAATTGAGTGTACATTGAAGGCAAGGATCAGGTGTGAATGTGGGACTAAGAAGGTATGACTTATATGGTTAGAAGGGGGGAGCATCCAATCTAAACGCTTAGATATAGGACACTTTGAGGTTACCAGATAATCAGTGGGGCTCATGTGATTTTAAAGGCAATAGTTTTGAGATGAAAGGTAAAAGATGACATAGTTGCATATAAGTCAGGAACAATAACCTGGGAATGTTTTTATGTTGGGTTAAAGAGGATATTTGTGAATAGTATATAGCATGAAGCCAGGAAAACCTTCAGCTTTGTCAGAAGTGGGGCATTTAATTGGTAATGAGAGAGGAGATGGTTTCAGGAAAGTGTTATACAGGGACAGGGATTTTCTGGACACATGTTGCTGCTTGGATCATATTTAGATGTAGTAAAAGTTTTGATAGGTATATCTGTGATGAAAGGGTAGGTTAGGTTAGTTGAGATGTGTACTCTAAGTGCTTCAAGTGCAGGATGAATAGTTTAAGCTTGGTCTGTTCTGAGCATTTATAAATACATTACAGTCATGAGCTGCATAATGACGGTCAACGCTGGACTGCATGTATGGTGGTAGTCCTGTAAGATTATAATACCATATTTTTACATACCTTTTCTGTGTTTGGATATGTCTAGATACACAAGTAGTTGCCATTACATTGCAGTTGCCTACAGTATTCAGTACAGTAACATGCTGTACAGGTTTGTAGCATAGAAGCAATAGGCTATACCATATAGCCTCAATGTGCAGTAGGCTATACCATCTAGGTTTGTGTAAGTACACTCTATGATGTTCACACAATGAAATCTAAACATTTGTCAGTATCTTTATTGTTAAGCGGTGCATGACTGTATTTTGTTTAGCATGTTAATTAGACTATATAATTTTCTTGAGATTGTGGTTTAGTAGTCAATGGCCAGGAAAGAGTCAATACCCAGAATTCTTCATACACGTGAAGGTCACATACTGTGACCTTAGTTATTTAACTTAATATCTTCCTTATTTTACTCTTATCATTACACCATAGTCTTCAAAACTTCATTTCCATTATTTTGAAGATATAATAGCTGAAATATTTTGTGAAGGATGGTATACTGAAATCTTAAACCTGGAACTCTTAACTGTCAATTTTTGGGGTTTTTTTGTTGGCTGGCCGGTACAGGGATCTGAACCTGTGATCTTGGTGTAGTAAGGCTGTGCTCTGATTAACTGCGCTAACTGGCCAGCCTGCCAGGGATTTTTTAAGAGCAGTCATCACCAGAATGCCAATTTGAAAGACCTAATGTTTGTTAACACCAGAAAGCCATTGTGAACTGCATTGCCAATCAAGTGACTTATGTATTTATTTATTTATTTTTTTCAAGTGACTTTTAAAGTTATGGTTTACTGGAGCTGAATCTTAGAAGACTGAGTAGCTGAAGTAAATAAGGAAATTGAGATAGGAAATCAGTAAGAAACAAGCAGTTAGTGTTGCCTGGGTAAGCAAGGGAGTATATAGAAGTGATGAGGAAAGAAAAGCAATGAGAAAGGAAAACTAGAAGAGAAAAATCTCAGTGTAGTATTACATTTTATACTCAAGTATGGTAGAAGAGCACCATAGTACAAAGTCATGTTACCCAGGAACTCTTAGAATACATATGGTAAAATCTACAAATACTGATAGTCAACTCTGTATCCCACAAATGTGTATAATCAATTATATTTCACTAAAAAAGTAATATATATGGTAAAGTGAGAGGAAAGAGATAAAAGTGCACTAACCCTAAAAGAGAAACTAGCTGTCTGCACATGTCTAGATGAAGGTGTTTTCTAGAGTTTAATATAAGTTTCTGATAAGGGCTTATACCTAATATATCAAGATAATTACTTAAATTCTTTGCTAGTTCCTATTTAAATGCATTTTTTTAAAAGTATTGTTAGCAGTGATTTCCTCTATTTACACTTAATTTTAGCTGTGATCCCACTAGAAGGATTAGAGGTTGTCCTTGTTTCTGACAAGTAAAATTAGTTCATCTCTGTTTTTTCACTCTTAAATTGTTAATGCCATGTTTAGTTTTCTAAAGTTATTCTTCCAAAAGGACGGTAAGTTTTGAAGGTGTTTTCTAGAGTTTAATATAAGTTTCTGATAAGGGCTTATACCTAATATATCAAGATAATTACTTAAATTCTTTGCCAGTTCCTATTTAAATGCATTTTTTAAAAGTATTGTTAGCAGTGATTTCCTCTATTTACACTTAATTTTAGCTGTGATCCCACTAAAAGGATTAGAGGTTGTCCTTGTTTCTGACAAGTAAAATTAGTTCATCTCTGTTTTTTCACTCTTAAATTGTTAATGCCATGTTTAGTTTTCTAAAGTTATTCTTCCAAAAGGACGGTAAGTTTTGTGACTCTTTTAGAACCTGAATGAAGTGAGTGTTACCTCATAATATTTTCTTTTCTGCTCCTTTTCTCCATTTCCTCCTTCCCCACTTCAGGCAAAAGTATTAGTTCACTATTTCCTACCCTACTTCTTAAATTTTTTTGAAAAATAATACTTCATGTGGAGAAAAAAATGAAATAGTGTGAAAAAGGGTAGAGATAGTATGAAACAGCTAAAAAGATAGGTATACAGTAAGAAGTAAATTTTCCTTCTGTCTTTGGCTACTCTCCCCACACAAATTTTATCTTCAGGTTATATTCATAAAACACCATTTTCCCTCTACTAAGAGAACCACTTGGAGAGATAGATCCCATTTATTTGTTTGTTTGTTTATTTGTTTGTTTATTATTATTATTATTATTTTTTTATTATTTTTATTTTTTGTCCTTTTTGAGACCGGCTGCACCGCGCTCAGCCAGTGAGTGCACCGGCCATCCCTATATAGGATCCAAACCCGGCTCCCAGCGCCGCACTCTCCCGAGTGCGCCACGGGCTCAGCCTGATCCCCTTTAACAAACAAAGGCTGGTGACTAGAAAATATAATTGTCATTAAGCTGTAAACAGTAAAGCATTGTATGTAAACATAAGCCATTTTTAAGGTAGTCCAATCTTAATTTTGTTTTTCTGGTTAAAACATTTTAGAAATAGAGGATCACTCAAAGGTGTCAAAAGTAGACAATTGGATAACTTGTTTCTGGGACATAGTCTGGTGGTAGTTATGATGTGTTTTTTGGTGCTTTCTTTTCATTTATGTGTTAGGCATGTTCTGCTCTCTCATATTAGGGATATTAGTGTTTCAGCAAAACATGGGCTTTGAAATTAGACAAATCAGGGCTTGAACTGTGGTAATGCCACTTCCTAGCTGTGTTATCTTAGCAGTTCCTTAAATTTCTCTGACCCTTGAGTTTCTCATCTGAAAAATGATAATAATAGCTACTTCTCAGGTTGGTTTTAAGGGTTGATTGTAAAGTACCCAGCACAATGCCAGCTGAGAGAAAGGTGCTCAATAAACGTTAAATCTTTTTCTCTTTTCTGTCAATGCTGTATTATGAATACAACCTGAAGATATTGTTGGTACTGCTGTTGCAGGAAAGAGACCTTAGGTAAACTTGACAATGCAGCATTTTCTATCAATGTATAAACTAAACGGTATCATTTATCATTTTTATTTAAGAAACACCAGATAAAAATAAAGTCTATTATTTAATCAAGAGGCAGTTGTGGCATAGAGTAAAATTTTCAGTGTGACTAGCTAATAGGGACCCAGTGCGCCACCGGGCCGGCCCCGTATCATCTTTTATTTTAGTTGAAAGCTTTGTTATATTGCTAGAATTCGTAGGTTTAATGTTAGTTGTGCCTTACTTTGAGAATATATGCAAATATACGAGGGTACGTCAAAAAGTTCATGGAAACAGAGAATTGAAGGATAATACAAATCTTTCATGAACATTTTGAAGTACCCTCGTACTTCTAATTTAGAATTATTTTTATTATCTCTGGTTGCCTAGCCCCAGAAATTGATTTTAACTAAAAAGGACAGCATCTTAGAACAGTTAAAAATTTGATATGTATGGACAACTGTTGTAAGATACCCAGGTAACTTGAAGGAAGTTGGACATCTGTTTCAGATACTCTGTTAATTTAAGAAAAGAAACTCCAGTTGTACATTTCTTGGTATACATAACTCCTTGGTCTTCCATATTGAGGTTTCACCTGTACCTGTCATGAGAGTCTTACTAGGAAAGAGAAACCAAAATGTACTCTGGAGTCTCATAGAAACAGTGGGAGGCCCTATTGGAAGGTACGTGATCTCTTCAATTGTGTACCCTGTTTTCTCATTTCCTCTCATTTTCCCAGGGCTAGTTAGATTGACCTGGTTTCTGTGGTGTGGAGCCTCAAGTTTTTTCTTTACCTAGGGGCTCACAGTGGGGAAGGATAAGATCAAGAGACCTTGAATATCGGTGGAAAATTCTTATATGCCTATTCATTGCTCTTTAGATTTCACAAATATCTTATTTTGAAGTACCAACATTTAAAAATCAAACCAAAGGAGGTTGCTGTTTTTTTCTTTCTAGGCAGAAAAACTAATGAAGCAAATTGGTGTGAAAAATGTGAAACTTTCAGAATATGAAATGAGTATTGCTGCTCATCTAGTAGACCCTCTTAACATGCACGTATGTATCGTTAATCTTATTTAAGATTTATTATTTATTTTTTTTGTCTAGTGTTTTGTGTCAAGGGTCCTAAAGACCATAACCGGGTTCAGTGATTCTCTAGGAGGACTCACAGGACTCAGCATATAGTCATACTCATGGATGTGATTTATTATACCAATATAAGGCAAAATCATCAAAGGGAAGAGGGCATGGGGTGAAGTCTGTAGGAAGCCAGGCCCAAGCTTCTGAGTCCTCTCCAAGTGGAGTCCCACAGGACGTGCTTAATTACTGCATTAGCAAATTGTGACAACACATGTGCAATGCTGTCTACCAGGGAAGCTCACTAGGGACTCAATCCCCAGGGTTTTTATTGGGGGCCAGTCATGTAGATTCCTTTTTTCTTACATGTACCAAAATTCTAGACTCCCAAGAGGAAATCAGGTGTTCACCATAAACCATATTGTTTTTGCACAAACAGTTTAGGCACAGTGAGCTATTCTTCTCATAGAATGGTGGGAACTCTCCTGAAATCTAAGTTCCCAGAGGCCAGTGAAGTGGCAGCCTTGTAAGCAGGACTTTCTAAGAGTAGTAGTCTCAGGCCTACTATGTTAAGTTGTTTTCTACACACATTTGTTTAGTAAAACTTGTACTTTTATATATTTGCCTGTGTGGTATGTAAAGTGTGCTGCTTTAAGTCATGTGGCTGTTTGATTTATGGAGTTTAAATCTAGATTTTTATGATATGGTGTGATAGATGACATGGGATTCCGAATGTCAGTTTTTCCATTCACAGCCTTGCATATGATTTCCTCTTTGAGTCTCAGTTCCCTCATGTATAATCCAGAGATAATATAATAATACCTGCTCTACCTACTTCATAAGGATTATTTTGAGGATCAGATTAATGTAATTTATAAACTCTAAGGTCCTATATGAATATTTTGTAACAGGTATAAATATATTTGAATATATTTATCTAATACATTAATGTTATATTGATATAAGTTGATTAAAATATGATATTCCCATCTCCAAATCTAGAAAATAAAAATCTACAATGTCTTTTAATATCTGTGTATACAGAGACATACACACACCCTAAAACTAAGCCTCCATGTGAATGTGATTTATAAATTTACAATGACACCTTCTTGGGGTCCTACCTGTATTCATTTCTGAGTAAGTCTTTACTAACAGACCCAGTTTTTTGTTGTAGCTACAATGAAAGTTATAATTTTAAGTCCCTTTCAGTTAATCCCCCCCCCCAAATTTAAGTTGAGTCAGAAGTTTTTTCTTGTCTATTTTGAAAATATGTATACCCTATTTACTGTTTATAAAGACACCTCATAAGTTTTGATGTAGTTTTGCTTTTGATGAATAAAATTCAGAAATCAAGTTTGGTGGATATAGACCTTATTTCTAAAATTAATTCTTATTATGTTTGACAGCATCCTGGGTGAAATAGGTGCATTCCCGGTGAGTTCTTTATGAGCAGCCAGTGCTAAATTATCTGTTTGAACTGATTCTGTCTTCTGTGACAGAGTATTTCCTCCTCATAAATGAAATGAGTTCAGCTTATTAGATTCCTGCAAATTCTTGAGTTCCTGACAGTGCTTTTTTTAAAATAGTAGGTAGTTGACTGTTAAATTCCTTTTCCCGTTTCAGAGCAGTTTATTAATTTCATTATTGCTGTGAAGTCTTTACTCATGTTAATATATAATTTTAACCTTTTGTTATTTATATATTATTATCAGATTAAGGTTTACCATTTTGGATGGATTTTTTTTAGATTAGTGAATGTACATTAGTAGGAAAATTCATGTCGACCTTAACTTTTACCAGGTTACTTGGAGTGACATAGCAGGTTTAGATGATGTCATTACGGATCTGAAAGACACAGTCATCTTACCTATCAAAAAGAAGCATTTGTTTGAGAATTCCAGACTTCTGCAGCCTCCAAAAGGTATTATGGAAGTTTGTATTTGCCTAAAGTCTAGAAAACATTGAAACTTTCTGCCATTATAGAACTGGTTTTTTGTGAAATTAGATTCTCAAAAGAATGCTGAGATCTAGTGAACTGTTCAGCTTCCAAAATTTAAATAAATGTTTTTCTCTGTAGTTACATGTCAAAATATATATTTCTTTATTTTCTGAAACAACAAAGCTGCTTATATTTTTTTCCTCTAACAAAATACATTTACTTTATTATGATTTTTTTTTTCTCCAAAGAAAATTTTGAATGATTAGCTGAGCCCAGATCAAAAGGGTAAGGTAAGAGGGCTAGCCCATGGTTCACTTGGGAGAGTGTGGTGCTGATAACACGAGGGCCATGGATTCGGATCCCTATATAGGGATGGCCAGTTAGCTCACTTGAGAGCATGGTGCTGACAACACCAAGTCAAGGGTTAAGATCCCCTTACCGGTCATTTTTTACAAAAAATAAATAAATAAATAAATAAAAGGGTAAGGTAAAAGTTGAATTATTTAGTGAAGTTATTTACTACTTTCTTCCAGGTTATTTGTAGTTTGAACAAAAAAACATTTAAAAGTTTACAGCAGTTAAAATTCCATGTGAACACCATATGGTTCCTTCTATAAACTTTCTGATTGAGTAATTGTTATTTTGGCACATAAGTTTTATATATGTCAGTCTTATCATATTCCATGTTTTGATGTATTATTTAAAATGTGGATAATCTAAGAAAAATATATTTTGAAAAATTGATTTTCTTTGGCCATAAAGGTCTACATTTCGCTCAATACTTTATGTTTAAATGGATTTAGTAAACTGCTGAATTGATAACGCTAATTATAATCCATGAAGAGAAATAATTGAAAAAACTTAATGCTGCTAAGAAGTACCAAAACTAAACTACTAGGAATAAATATTCAAAGTAATAAAAGAATAGTACGAAACAAATATAACATTCCACAAGCATTGCATTCATTTATGAAGTGATAGTGTAGCTGCAAAGTCAACAAAATATGGAGACTTTCACATCAATACTTTGCTCTAAAAACCCTAAAACTTGAGTAATAGGTATATAAAAAATTTGCTAGTAGATATGCATTCCACATTAAATTAAGTCATCATAGTGATGAAATGTTATGATATGCAAGCATATGCCCTCATCCCATATGTTTTCAGCTTTAAATAGCTTTAGATTACTCTTCTTTATTGTTTTACA